GGTCGCAGGGTCGGAGATGAGGAGTGAGCGGGCGAGCTGTTCAGGATATTTGGGTTTATTGTACTTATGATTTGCCACGCTAGACTTCCGCTAAACTTTCAGTACCTTTTTGTCAAACTTTGTTTCCGATGTTTGTCGGATGAGACTTTATAACCGTTTTATTTATCAGTTTAAATTTTTAAACGGTTCCCAGAAAAATCAAGTTTTCACGGTAGCATCCCGATCAGTTTTCGCAAAAATAAGTATTTTGTTTAATTATTCAGTAAATTTGCGAAAAATCGCGCACTCTGATGTATTACAAATAGCGGGGTGTTACAAATCGAGTTCAAGCAAGGAACCCAAAATCCCGAGCAACCTTGTCCTTCTTTCTCCTCATTCTCGTTTTCTGGAAGGAGGTAAGGTGCCACCTCTTTAGAATATAATTTAGATGATATTAAATAAATAATGATGTATTTACATGCCCTAGATGTTCAATTTATAAGTGTTTATAAGCATGCCATATGATTGAGTTATTCCCAGCTCGCATGATAAATCTCGTTTGTACGGTTTATGTTGTGCCTCTGATAAGACCTTAAGGAACTCGTTTTCTGAATTTATGTTCTTCATATGAAATGTTGTTCATTCTTTTAGCTTTCTCTGAGCTTTAGAGTTTCGTAAAACCGATCTATATCGAGTGAGTTATGATTTTTACAAAAAAGAGTGCGCAAGCAGTTTTCTGGAAACCCGGCAGCATGTACCATTAAATGTTTGACCTGTTTATGGTGTCTTAATGTGCTCAAATGAGTTTGTGATCTTCCTGAAAGTAATAGGTATATTTCTTAGCTTTCTAATCATATAAGTTTCATGCTGATATGTGTTTGTAGTATTTTTGGGCAATTGGTAACCGAGTTACCCGGACTGGGGTCGTTCTCAAAGGAAGGTTATTCGGACACGGATTTAAACAATGATTGACTCACACAAGAAAATAAAATAAAATTCTAAACACTCTACTCGCAATTTGGGGGTTTGGATTAAGCTAAGAACGCAATTTAAACTAAGACGAAAGCAAGATTCACAATTTATCGCAAGCAAGACCTCAAATTGCAAGAAAAGGGAAAATTAAGAGAAAAAGAACAAGGTACTCCTAGACCGGAGATGGAAAGAAAGCCCTCATAGGTTCGGGAACATGCAAGCAAGCAATAGTCACTCGTGATCAATTAATCTCTCAATCAATTCTCGCTCACGCAATCAATAACAATGTCACATAATCCCTAGCCTATGAGGATGATAGCATAATCGACTAATGGATGTGCATATCTTAACTCTAGAATAACTCAATAAGTAAAGACAAGCAAGACTAACGAAATCATGAACCTTAAGCGAAGTCTCCACGTCTCTAATGCATCCACGAGAAGAAATAAGCCAAAAGTTGTAATCTTGATGGAGAAATATTACAATAAAAATAGGGTCTTGGAGCCCTTAGAGAGAGAAAGAAAACTAGAGAGAGGAGAGAGCAAAAAACTAAAAAGAAAAATTTAGCAAAATGAGGAATTCTACCAAAAATACAAAGCAAGATGTCTATTTATAGCTACACCACAAACACACACTAAAACACACACATTTAATGAAGAAAAACTCGCAGGCTAGGTGGATTTCACGAGCAAAAGTCGGATTTTCGCGGGCAAGAAGTAGCCCGAGAGTGTGGCTTGGGGCACGTCCGAAAACTTGCAGCCTAAGGGTGTTTCGCGCGTGCGACTGGCAAGACTCGCGGGATGGCAGCATCACTCTTGGAGGAACTCGTGGGCAAGGGGGCACTGTCACTCGAGAGATGGCACAAATGCTGGCGCTGCATAAGTGGGGCGCTAGAAAGCATGCATGTACCTACTCGGAGACCAGCTGCACGGCCAAGGTTTGGCAGTACACACTGGCCTGGGGAGTTCGTCCGTTCGATGATGGCGGCTGCAGCTCTCGTGCGAGTCAACGATCGGCCCTGCAGTTGGCCTCGCGTCCCTCAGCACAGGCATGCATGCCCGACCACCACTTCGCGTGGCTACACCCAACCAGGGCCAATGTTCGGTTCAAGTTTTGGATAAGGAAAATTCTAGTTCAGGGTTCACAATTCCCAAAGTAACCAGAAAGGAAAAACAAAAAAAAAAATCTTTCACAAAACTTTCAAAACAACCAAAATTTGAGTTAACCAAAAGAACCTCTCATGGCATTTAGGTCATCGAATGTTCAAGGGCTTCAAATCATAATAAGGCATAAAAACCAAGTTCCAAGTTCACCACATTTTTGCTACTCGATACAATAATGACACGAATATTCAACAAGAGAAATAAGGAAAATATTTCTCCAAGAGATTGAACATCGGTTTCCCAGCTAGGAATAATCTTAACTAGTAGTCATTACCGAAAAACGGAATGGCAGCTCGCTCGACTCTTCCGAGTAATAGTGTCGGCCGCCACATAAGCTCTTTTTCATGTAGCTGAACGTTCCAGCAGTCCTAAACGAGCTCTTAGAGTTGTGACTTAACTCTTTACCACTAGAGTTCAAGTCCATATATGTACGGAGGGAAATTTCTAGAGTTCATCATTAAAAACTAGAGTCCGAATTAAACCAAAGGTGGATAGATCCTAAGCCCCAAAATATCAACAAAACACATCACAAGTAGTTTCATTGCTACTTATGCACAAATTCACAATTCGCATTATAAGTATTTTCATTTATACTTATATAAAAACATACCTTAAGCAGGGCGGCATGACGAAGACGAATGGTCAAACACAAGGTCAAAATAACATAAACACACAAATATGTAATTCACACATAGAGCAGTCTACAGAAACGCAGACTGGCAATGATACCATACTGTAACGCCCCACTTTGATTTTAAAGCATTACCGAATTTATTTATAAAATCAGAGTTTATTATTCGCAAATTCTCAATTTAAAATTTGTTTATTAACGGGCGCTACTTAACTACCAACAACAATTTAACAAATACGAACAAACAGATTGAACCTACACATGCACTAACAGTCATAAAACTTAAACCAAATATTCATAAGTTCCAAATGGTCCATCCAACAAAAACATAATATTCAAGCGGAAGCAGAAAATATTCAAAGTGAAAACAAGTAGTTCAACATGAACAATAACAGGCGGAAGCAAAAGACAATAATAATGCAATAACGAATGACCACCACTAGATCGTCTTCACGCCGCCGCCGCCAGCCATGCTCAACCTGAAGAAAAGAAGAAGAGACAAAGAGAAAAATAATGGGGGTGAGCAAAACCATTATTCTCACCATTACCGCACAGTATATCCCGCATAAAGATCTAAAACTATAAATAAAGTATGCATAGAATCCAAGCTCTAACTCCCTACACGGCCGTATCGCAAACATCCTATGTACATACAACAACCTTCCGATTATACATCGACAAGGAATAGCCGGAAACCTTCCCACCCTGGGTACAACGGGCGAGGGATCCTTTCCAGGAGACAGTGGGGCTATTTTTCTCTCCGAATACAACGAATCAGGGCGTACCCGGATACAACGGGTAGGTGACCTCTCACTGCTTATGTATTCATGAAAGGCACTATCAAAGGGACACTTAGAATAGGGTTCTCACCCATACAACTACTATCGAAATGGAACATTTATATGAAATAACGAGTGCAATAATTGTAGAAACAACGTAAATGTACCCACCTAGTCGAAAGCAAGAGATAACAAAAAACACGTGTAGGTAGCTAGCTCGACTCGTCAAACACCTACATATATTAAAATAGTCTTATAAATGACTATCCAACACACAAACAACTTATAGCAACATACATGGATTCCACTCAGCACACCTAAGTCATATAGGCATGCATTTAACAAGTAAAACCCAATTTCAAAGGTACAACACAAGATTTCCAAAACTTAACCCGCGAAGCGATTTTGAAATCAACACAACTTGCGGCTCATATATGTATAATCATGAATCTAGTTGCATTTGAACCCTAAGACATGCCTCTAAAATTCATATGAAGACATTGAGAACAAATAAGGTCATTTACTAGGAGATAAATCATCAAACATTCAGAAATGAGTAGCAGTAAAAAATTGAGAATATGCAACTGGTCGGACTTCAGTAATTGCTAGATAACTAGAGCTACAAGCATGCTTTTAATGAGATTCAAAAACCGCATGGCAGATAACTCAAATATCTACAATTGCTGAAGATCACATAGGAAAATAATGAGATTATCAATGAGTTTAAACACAAAACATTTGATTCATAAAACCTGCCAGAGACTAACTTATGATATAAATAGCACCTCAGTATTTGTCATCTAACTCATGCTACAGACCTCTAAATGACATGATTCTTTAATGCTTAGAAAGCTAAGGAATAAGGCTACTACTTTCATTTAGAACACGGGAGCAGATAATGTCATTAAGATAGTGTAAAAGTAATTAACATTTAAAATCAGTTTCTGCCAAAATACAAAACACTATATCATACATATCTACATTCTATGAACACAAATCGAGCTACAAACAACATATTGTTTATTGTGTTTTAGTGCTTATTTTCATGTGTTTTATGTGCTCGAGTTTAGTATTTTTAGGTTTGTTTTAGTGTCGACCGGTCCATTTTATCATATTTCGTGCATTTTTATTCTCGTATTGCGTTTTTGTGGTTCGACGTACTTTTATTGTCTTTTTGGTGTTGTTTAGGTCCACATTATTCGAAATTGGGAAGATGAGCCATTTCCGAGATATTTTCGAGTCATCCGAACCATGTTCGAGCCACATGGGCCATTTTCGAGCCGTTCCGGGCATATTATTAATTGCGTGGTGATATCAATTTGTGCATCTCAAGATGAAGAGAAAAAGATTTGGGAAGCATGGGTCAAAGTTTCAAGTCAATCGGATAAGTGTGCGAGAAATTAGAGCTTCTTAAAGACGAGCCATAGCCACCGGACCATGACCGAGCCTTGACCCGCGCACATGCCCGAGCAACGCGCACAACAACCCCCGCCCGCGCGCGCGCCCTAGCACAACCCGCGAGTGTACACCCAGCCCGCGAAACAGCCCTATCGCGCGAGTTCCACCTGCACACCACGCCAGCCCGCAAGTTCTGAGCCCCGCGCCCGCGAAATGTCCCTTGCCCGCGAGTTCCTCCAAGAGTGATGCTGCCATCCCGCGAGTCCTGCAAGTCGCGCGCGCGAAACACCCTTAGGCTGCGAGTTTTCGGACGTGCCCCAAGCCATACTCGTGGGCTACTCCTTACCCGCGAAAATCCGACTTTTGCTCGCGAAATCCACCTAGCCTACGAGTTTTTCTTCATTAAATGTGTATGTTTTAGTGTGTGTTTGTGGTGTAGCTATAAATAGACATCTTGCTTTGTATTTTTGGTAGAATTCTTCATTTTGCTAAATTTTTCTTTTTAGTTTTTTGCTCTCTCCTCTCTCTAGTTTTCTTTCTCTCTCTAAGGGCTCCAAGACCCTATTTTTATTGTAATATTTCTCCATCAAGATTACAACTTTTTGGCTTATTTCTTCTCGTGGATGCATTAGAGACGTGGAGACTTCGCTTAAGGTTCATGATTTCGTTAGTCTTGCTTGTCTTTACTTATTGAGTTATTCTAGGGTTAAGATATGCACATCCATGAGTCGATTATGCTATCATCCTCGTAGGCTAGGGATTATGTGATATTGTTATTGATTGCGTGAGCGAGAATTGGTTGAGAGATTAATTGATCACGAGTGACTATTGCTTGGTTGCATGTTCCCGAACCTATGAGGGCCTTCTTTCCATCTGGGGTCTAGGAGTAGCTTGTTCTTTTTCTCTTAGTTTTCCCTTTTCTTGCAATTTGAGGTCTTGCTTGCGATAAATTGTGAATCTTGCTTTCTTCTTAGTTTAAATTGCGTTCTTAGCTTAATCCAAACCCCCAAATTGCGAGTAGAGTGTTTACAATTTTATTTTATTTTCTTGTGTGAGTCAATCATTGTTTTAATTCGTGTCCGAATAACCCTCCTTTGAGAACGACCCGAGTCTGGGCAACTCAGTTACCAATTGCCCGTAAATACTACAAACAAAATGGCGCTGTTGCCGCGGAAGGTGAGTAGGCCATTGGATTTAGACAATTGATTGACTTATTTTCCATATTTCTCTTGTTTTTTGTAATTTTTCTTAATTTTGGTGTTTCTCTTGCTTGTTTTCGATTTCTCTTGCTATTTGGTGTTTGTGTTCTTGTATATATTGTGTCGTGTTATTCGTGTTTTGTGTTATTTTGTCTTGGTCTCGTGTGCCTTGGTTTGTTTGTTGTTCTTGTGCGAGGTAATCCGCTCGAGGAGCTCCGATGGACCCGTATGATTATTCCTATGCCGGAAGCTCGTCTCGTGGACACCCCGACAATTACCAAGAGGAGATGTATACAACATATGGGGAGCCATATTGTTTATATCCGAGTTATTCACCTTCTTACTCTTATGACGGATGCTCTACTTCCCATGGGTATGGCTCGAGCCATTTTTACCCGACATCTCAAGACGATTATGGTTATGACATTCCAGGTCACGACGAGCCGCCTTATTTCAATCCTCCACCTCCAGACTATTACTATCCTCCACCTCCCGATTATGAAAAGGCACCTCCACCCGAGCCGACTCGAGAGGTTTCTCGAGTCAATCTAGTCGAGATCATGGAGCATTTAGAGGAGTGCAATCGATCCCTTCGCGCTTCAATGGCTCCCACATCCGAGAAAGAAGGAACCGAATCCTATGCTCTACCCTCTCCATCATTTGAGCATCAATCGGTTGGCCAACCTTGTACACCGAGGACCGAAGCTTTAATTCCAACCATGGTTGTTCCTTCCGAGCGTCACCGCGCTGTTTTGACGAGCACTCAAGAGGCACTTGCAAGCCTCATGTCAATCGTTGAGGAATTTCATTGTTGGAGTATTCCCATTCCATCCGTTCTTCAAGTCACACTCATGAAGTTCGACTCTAT